TTTAGACAAAATTGGTGTTTTTTCCATTGTTTAAGCACTGCTTCCAGCCAAGAGTGATACCATATATGCCCTATAGCTGCAGAAAAGGCTAACATTGTTACCTTTCTACAAAAAAACAGCTAAACATAAGAGGTTTTCAGACAAAGTTTGTGTTCTTCATTCTTTAAGCACCGGTTCAAGCACCGTTTAAGCACCGGCACCGTTTCAAAAGTACCAGTTTGGTACTGGTATCGGATAAAACCTAAACGATACCCATCCCTACTCATGAATGCTGGCGTCAAAGTTCAGCAGGCAGGCAAGAAGTTTCCTCTGAAGCTTCAGACCCGAGTTACTATATCATTAACCAGCATCACCGTGATGTGCTCTCAAAGTAATTAATTACTTCTTTGTCTCTCTCCTTTGCTTTGCATACCTCAGCAGAGTGGCTGAACAGCACACCGGTCACACCTGCTCCACCTGGTGTGTGTGTGTGTGTGTGTGTTCAGTGGGTGTGTCCTCCTCTGATGAATGTAAACACAAAGAGAGACTTAAGGACAAATAAAGCTGCTGTCACTCCCTCGCTGTATTTTAAGAGCATGCTGAGTGAGTGCTTTGTTTCTCCGTCAGTATCATCATGTCATCTCTTCTTCTGCGCCCGTCATTAGGCCTGATTAGAGGCTTTGTTCCCGCCGCAGTGAGGCATGCTGGGAAACAATCCTCAGCTGTGACGCCGTGTCTCGGACTCTGTTAACGTTGAGTTGTGTCATTGTTTGGTCCGAGTTTCACTGATGCTGGAATGCAGCTGACAGCAGGCATTAATGTTGCATTCAAGGCCAATCAGACATCAGACTACAAAAAACTGCTGATGATACCTGATATGAATGAATCTCCTGTTTCCTCTTGTGTGGTTTGTTGAGGAGGTTTGTGGTTTCAAACTAGGGGCATGGAAATCAGCAAGTAATGTCAGATTATGATATATCTGTCTGAAGTTAAAGAGCCAAATTCCACAAACCAATCACAACTTCCGACCAACAAAGAGAGTTAAAACAATCAAATACTGTGAAAGATGCTGATTTTAGATAATTTAAGGTATTTTGGTTTAATTCTTTATCCCATAAAATATTAATATAAAAGAAAGAAAGACAGCTCACGTCTGACAGTGTGCCGCTAGAAAAACACATCGGCAAAAACTCATCCAGGATGTATGACACATGGTGATGGACATGAACACACACAGGTGAAACCCCACCTTCATTAAAAACAACCTGACTCCTCTTCCCTGCCTGCCTGTCGCCATAGAGACCAGTCCTAGAGAGCTTGGCGTGGTAACCCGACACGTCGCGCAAGGATCTGGTTACTCGGGCCGGCCGATGAAGGCTCATCCTGTGTCTCAGCAGGCAGCGTTTACACGAATCCCAAACAGCTCGACTGACCACAACAATGAAAAGCTCACCATCAACGGTTTATGGTGACAAATGGGTCAAAATAAAGGTGTCGGGGCTCCGTGGCACTGACCAGCATTTATCATTTAACACAAAGAAGAACAGGTGAACG